AGTGTTACCAGCAGCAGATCCTCCAAATATTCAAATATTTGCCAAAATGGATCTTTAGATATTTACGAGTTGTTCGTTATTGCGATGGCATAAAGAAAAACAAAAAACAAGAGTTCTCTGTTGATTTGATTCGTCGTGCTGATCACCTGATGTGTTTGCAGAAAACTTGCTGGTCATCACCGTGGCAACAGAGGAGACGGACGGCTTCCTGCGCTTCGTGAGGACCGCCCAAGAGTTCAACTACACTGTGAAGGTAACACACGCACAAGTTACATGCTGGGTAACTTTGTGTTAAAGAGTAACCTGTTACCTGGTGAGTAATCCATTACATCCCTGGCTGAGGTTACTGTGCTGCTGATGTCTGATGCACGGCTGCACAGCTGTCGCTCGCTGAAGTTTCCCAGCTTCCCTCCATGATACTCAGCTGCTCCACAGTTTGCACATTTCCAGTCTTATTTAGTGAGTTAGTTTGTCAGTGGAGGACCTAAAGATGTTTTCATACCTGTGGTGTTTAAATCGAACTCTAGACCTTTTGTCCGGTTCATTTCTGAACGCCGTAATTACACCACATCCTCCACACTGAAACCTTTTAAAGGAGGTGGTCTCAGGCTGGTTCCTAGCAAACTCCAGTCCATGCTTTACATTCTGGGTGCCATAGATTTGAGAATATCATTGAAGTTAAAGTAAATTCTTGGTGTTCAGTCTAGATCTCATCACCTCCTTCCTGTGTTTATCTTTGTTGCTCCACTCTGATGAGTTTGCTTGGATTTTTTTCTGTGTTCAAACTGCACGTGTGGAAACGGCCTCACAGCTGAAGTGCTTCAGTCACATCTTGATTGTTGGTAATCTGCAGAGACTAAAGACTAATGTGTCGTTGTCCAAGTGGTCGGTACCTGAAACAGCTCAGAGCCTCTAACTTGTGGTTTTCGCTCGCTTCGTGAATGAGCCGATTGTTCCTGAATGCAGGGAGGACCTGTCGGGCCACACAGTGCCGCTCTGACTGCAGTAAAACGTCTTTGTTTAAGGTGCAGGAACAACTCCAGCAGAGAAAAATAAAACTGTTTTTTTGTGCTGCAGATCCTTTAGAAACACTTTCAGTGATCACATGAGCAGATCAGCTGTCAGAGGATTTATTGGATACAAACGAGTTTAATGATGTGATGGTGGTGTACAGGTCCTGGGTCTGGGCGAGGAGTGGAAGGGAGGCGACGTCGCTCGGACGGTGGGTGGAGGTCAGAAGGTGAGATGGTTGAAGAAGGAGGTGCAGAAACACTCGGAGAAGACGGAGCTCGTCATCATGTTTGTGGACAGGTAAACTGTGTGTGTGTGTCATATACTTTCTGTCTCTTCACAGCTCTACTCCTCCTTTTTATCTTGTCCGTCTCAGTTTTCGCTGCTTTTGTCTTGACTTTGTCTTTCTGACCTACTTTGACACACATGAGGACAAAGCTTTTCCCACAGAAATGAAGGATATGAATTTTCGTATTGTTCGATCAGCAGATAAACAGTGAAATCAGAGCTCGGGCACCACCTGTGACCTGTGCAGGGATTTCACTGGTTCTGAGCTCCAGTGTTGTTACTGTTAACTAAAGTTCAGACCAGTCCAGAAATACAAAGCCAGTGACGGAGGCCTGGGAAGGATGGGTGAGCACTGGTTGTTAGGGGGAAAATGTTTGGTGACAAGTTAGCAAATGAGTGCTGGATAAACCATGAAGATGGAAGAAGCACACGGTGCTGCACTGAAAGCTTCCTTTTTTGGATTGCGTTAGTCTTTAATAGATTGCCACGGTCTTGAAGGTAAGGTTCGGTCGACCTTTTTCAAGTTTCACTGTCACATGGTGGTAAATCAGCGAGCGTTTGCAGACAGGTCATCATCTTTCATGGCAATCTTCTTGCAACCAAAGCAGTCACAGGTTTGTAGTCCAGTGACCTCCAGTGGCCACTCACTAACAGTTTAGGTCGTACAAATACATTTTTTCCTAGCAGCTGGTGGTTCCCAAACAGTCTGTGCAGGTAGGGTCCAAATTGTGGACCCAAAAATAAGTTAAAATACTATTTTGGTATTGGTCAGCCTGACAGGTGCTGTCAGCCAATCGAAAGAAAAGCGTCTGGACTTCTTTAAGTTGCTTGAAGACGTTTCACCTTTATCCGAGAAGCTTCTTCAGTTCTAAGGTCAAATGGTGGAGAGTCCCAGATTTAAACCCAGTGGGAGTTTCCCCCCACAGAGGGACAAAAGGACCCCCTGATGATCCTCTAATCGCCTGAGACAAGGTGTGAAAACGTGTGTAGGTCATTGTGAAACCTGGCCCTACCTTATCATGCGAATTCCTGAGGTCAGATGGCCCAGGACGTGAGTGGCGTCTGGGGAGGGAACTCAAAACTGGATTATAGATGGCAGAGAGTTGGTGTCGTAAACCACCGCCTCTGTTCAAAGATGGTCGCTCACAGTGGACACAGATGGCTTCTTTGGCCTCCCACTAGGTTTAAATCTGGGACTCTCCACCATTTGACCTTAGAACTGAAGAAGCCTCTCGGATGAAGGTGAAACATCTTCAAGCAACTTAAAGAAGTCCAGACGCTTTTCTTTCCAAGCTCCTTTGACTGCGATGACCTGGATGACTGAGAACCTTCACAGACACACTGTCAGCCAATCCCTCTTATTCTGCCAAGAGAAGCCAGGTGTAATCAATCATGATCTCTAACAGGAAGTATATATGCTTGTGAATGAGTGAATGCATATATTTGACCCTTAGAGAGAAAATCCAAAATACAGTAAATTCAAACTCAATTGAGTTTCTTTTGGTAATGTCTGATGTTTGCTGTGCAATCCTTCCACCCTGAAAAAGCCAGGGACAGTTCAAATAAATCATCGAAAGTCCAAAATCGCCATGAATTCTGTATTTAAACCTCTGACCACAACTGTAAAACTCCCATTTCCTCCAGTATAACCCAGTTGTGGAACGTCACAGAGACGAGGGGATCATCTGGTAGAGGAGACCACAGCAGGAGCAGGAGACCCCTCTGTCCTGTTTTAGGTTTTAATGAACACCTTAAACTCTGTACTGGAGCTGCTGCAGGCCGTCATTACTAAAGTTTGGTGTTGCGAATGAGCCACACTCGACTGTGGAGCTCACACTGAACTCTTACTGTAATTTCTTCCATTTATCGCCCTTTAAATGTTTTATTTTGTCCTGTTTACATGCAAGCTGACGTGGCTCTCACTCTTTCCAGCCACTGCTCAGTGTTCAGTCCTCTGATTGTTTCTGTCTGCGTATCCCACACATTCAAACTGTTGCAAACAGTAACAGCCCCCCTCTGTCTCTCTCCACGCAGTTACGATGTGATCTTTGCATCGAGTCCTGAGGAGCTGCTGTCCAAGTTTTCCCGTATGGGTCACAAAGTGATTTTCTCAGCTGAGGGTTTCTGCTGGCCTGACCAGCGCCTGGCCTCCAAATACCCCGAGGTGCGTACTGGGAAACGCTACCTGAACTCAGGAGGTAAGGAGCTCACTGCTACTTCTTTAAAATACTATAAAAGGTTTAAAGCAGTGAGTAACACACGACGTCTTGCTCTTCAGGGTTCATCGGCTACGCTCCAGAGATCAGTGCAATTGTCCAGCAGTGGAAGTACAAAGACAGCGATGACGACCAGCTTTTCTACACCAGGATGTACCTGGACAAGACGCACAGGGTACAAACAACTTCACAAACATCAAAAAACAAAAGTAACCCACAGTTTTAAAGCTACTGTTAGACTTTTACCTCCTCAATTAATACTAGAATAAGTACCTCAGGTCAAAGGTCTTTGACGTTGCAGACAGAACAAGTTAATCTGTACTGCTGGGTAAAAAACTGTTTCCAATGTTTTGAACATATTCTTAGAAAACTAGGCCGGCAGTGATTTCAGAGAAGAAGAGTTTTTGAGTCTCAGATATTCTCCCAGCTTGTCATGTCTGAATTCATCTGTGAAAGTCTAAATCTTGACAAAGCTGCTCTGTTTGTTATCGTCACATCAGACCAAGTTTAACATGACCCTGGATCATCGATCCCGGATCTTCCAAAACCTGAACGGAGCTGTTGGTAAGAAACACAAACTTGAATCTGTCCAGCATCTTTTCTGGCTCACGTGAGAGCTCAGTTTACACGTGAAGCAGCATGTAGCAGTCTGTGTCTCCATCCACCTGTTAGTCCAGGAGGCTACACTCCTATTAATGCAACTCTAAGCCTGTTGTTATGAGGGGGGGAGATTAGCTACAGAGACCAAAACAGCTTTTTGTATCAGGCTGTAAACATGTTTATTTCAGTCTGTGGGGAATGACTCACTTTTACAAGCGTACAGTTTAAACCTGAGTAAAAAGTAGAGGATCGATAATAGAGCATATTCTGGTTTTTGTTACTCTCTACTGGTTACTTCATCCTGAAAACCTCTGATTTGAATGTGAAATACTTCAATTCAGATATTAAAAGGTTTATTATACATGTGTGTTCATGCCTTTCTGACATAAATCAAATCAAATCAAAATGTATTTATGTAGCACATATTAAAACAACAGTGTTGACCATAGTGCTTCACAGTCAGTAAAAGCATGAGACAGTTAAAACAAACAATAAAAGAGGACAACAAACAATAGGTAACAACACAACAAGCTAGACCAGCCAACTAGACAGAATCAAAAGCCAAAGTAAAAAAAAAAGTTTTAAGACGTGATTTAAAAGACTGGATCGACTCGGCAGTACGAATATGAACAGGGAGGTTATTCCAGAGTCCGGGTGCCACGGATGCAAAGGCCCGGTCACCTCTCGACTTCATTCGAGTCCTAGGTTGTGCTAGGAGCCTGTGATTGGACGATCTAAGTGCTCTGTTGGGATTGTATGAGTGGAGTAGTTCAGAGAGATAGCTGGGCGCTAAATTATTCAGAATATTAAAATCTATACGATATTTAACAGGGAGCCAATGTAGTTTGGCTAAAATTGGAGTTATGTGTTCATGGATTCTCGTACCTGTTAAAAGACGCGCAGCTGCATTTTGAATTAACTGAAGCCGGCAAAGAGAGGAGTGTTGGAGGCCCGAGTAGAGGGAGTTACAGTCGTCCAGTCTGGATGTAATAAATGTGTGGATAAGATTTTCAAGGTCCTTTAAAGGAAGGAACGGCTTTGCTTTGGAAATCTGACGCAACTGGTAAAAGCTGTTTTTTACCACAGTGGAGATCTCAAGTTTAAAAGAGCCATCCAGGAACACTCCGAGGTTTCTTACAGTGGGCGAGAGGGCCAAGGGCATCAGCTAACTGGTGTAGCGGAGTGTGACTACCAAAGACTATGATTTCGGTCTTATTCTTGTTCAATGTAAGAAAATTATGTGATAACCAAATTTTAACGTCATGCAAACAGTTGAACAGAGGTTGCAAAGAAGCAGACACATCGGATTTCAAAGGTGAATAAATCTGTGCAACTTTTTCATCGTGCTATTACTGTACTCAGGCTCTTATGAGGATTATCTTTGGTCCTGACTGAATCAAGGTGTATCGTGTTTGTTTCTACGGTAAAGTTGGACATTTTAACACGGGAGCTTATGAGGACTGACTTCCCACTGGAGCCTCAAGTGGACATTTGAGGAACTGCCATTTCTTATTGAGCAGAAACACTTACACTGAATCTCCTCTCTAGATGAGGTCGTCTTGAAATTCGAGAGGGCAAAGGTCAGAGCAAGGAATGTCGCCTACGACACGCTTCCTGTTGTTATCCATGGCAACGGACCCACCAAGGTAACACGACA